CCTACACTCAAAGAGCATTCTGAACCCCACCAACAATCGAATTGGACCAAACTTCCCACACAGAACCCCCATAACCAACAGAAAATGCTGTGTTTCCTGATGGTCTTTGGCGACCCCTCTGACACTCCCTGGCGACCCCCGAAGGGATCCCGACCCCCAGGTTGAGAACCACTGATCTAGATATTGCTAAAGAAATCAACATGTGAATTATCAAAGCTTCAAATGTGGAAGGCATACTGTACCTTCCTTAAGGTTTCCCCATCAACTGGAGCAAAGCAATAACTGAAAGGGGTTACAAAAGCATCTTCATATGAACTCATTACGATTAGAAAAGGTTTAAACAAACGCAGAAAGCTGCATGAAAAGTGCAAGTGCTCCCTCATTCTTCTGCTACCTCATAGAAAAGTCTCCTTGATCCCTGTCTTGTTGGGACTTTCAGAAGACCCTGCCATCATTGCACATGCCTAGAACTAACTGAAATGTCTTCATTTTTTCCCCTCTAGAATAAAATTTGGTATCATCTGAAAATTCTGAAGAAAGAGAGACAAGACATTTTGACTTATAAACAAAGTGTGGAAACTGAAATGCAGAGACTGTTGGTGGGTATTTAAGTCAATAACAACATTACTTAAGCCAGTGGTTCTCAGCCTTTCTAACACCTTTACCCTTAAATATAGCTCCTCATCTTGTGGTGACCCACAACTGTCTTTTCGTTGCTAGTTCATAACTGCTACTGTTATGCATTATAATGTAAATATCTGATATGCAAGATGTGTTTTCATTGTTACAAATTGAACATGCTTAAATCATGGTGATTAATCACAAAAACAATATGCTTGGGGGAGTATGGACAACGGATGATGGGATTTGCAGCACTGTCAACTGATTCAGCTCTGATTTCCATGACCACTGAGACTCCCACAAATTACAGACCTGGACCAAACTTGGCACATAGAACCCCCATGACCAACATAAAATACTGGAAGGAGTTGGGAAGAACTGACAGTGATTTACAGGACATGTAGTTCACCTACATTCGGAGAGCACTGTGAACCCAAATGACAATGGATCTGGACCAAACTTGGCACAAATACTCAATATTCCCATGTTTGAACACTGGTGGAGTTTGGGGAGTCCTTGTGGGGAACAAGTTAAACATGAGCCAACGATGTCATGTGGTGGCAAAAAAAAAAGCCAATGGGATTTTGGCCTGCATCAATAGGAGTCTAGTGTCTTGATCCAGGGAAGCCACACTACCCCTCTATTCTGCCTTGGTCAGACCACACCAGGAATAACGTGTCCAATTATGGACACCGCAGTTGAAGGTGTCCAGAATTGTTG